ATTGTGAGTACATGTTGGCTCATTGTTACGCGTACACTACAGTTTATTATTATTGCCTAATACAGTTCATTAGATTAACACGCCACTTCTGTATACTCAAACATTATGACCTTGTGAATTCACTTGTGTGAATTCTCATAAATAATGATGACACCAATACTCTGACAATTAATGACAGGCCTGGTTGGCCCAAATCCCGGCCAAGATTTGGGTCGGCCAAAACCTAACCCTAAAACCCTAGGGCTCAGTTCACAGTCAATCACAACCCCCCGCTACGATTGCGTGTCGGCATAGCTTGCATGACACGCCGTCGTAGCCTTACTGTGTCTGAGTACAGTCGCCTAGCGACCCTGTCCCGTGTACGTCTAAGAAAGAGAAGAAAAGAAAAAATAACCTATGCGCACAACGTGTGCGCATCCAGAGAGGCTTACTCTCCACCCCCACTTGGGAGGTGGAGTTCGTCCACCCTACCTCACCCTTGAGGATTTCACTACGGCAACTAACGACGAGCCGGCACTTCCACCCCGTCCTCGGACAACTGCAACTCGCCCCAAGCCCGGAGGCGTCTTCGCCTGTACGTTCCCGACTGAGCAAAGGCAAAGCACTTCTCCACTTGGCGTTTGAAGTGTGCCCTCTTCTTCTCATCCGAGAACATGCTCTTCAGCAGCTTGTTGTATCGCTTGCGAAGCACATGCTGACCCTTAGACCCTGGTACCAACGATGTGCAGCACTCCAGGTCCGCCTCGTCACACCACATCTGCCACCTGCCCCAGACCGATCTCATAGCAGTAGACCACGTACGCGCCTTCTTGGTTCGACGAAGGCAGTGTCCTATCGCCTGCTTGTACCCATCCTTCTTGTCACAAAGCGGTGAATGGTATAGAAGCCAATCCTCATACGGACCATTCGGGCGATAACGCATATGCTTCCTTCGTGAGTTTCCCAATGTGCGGTTTCAGCTCCGCCCTAAGAAACTTGCGATGAGTGCCATCCGCCATCTCCACCACAGGAGTGAGCGGAGCTTGCACTGACACCACCTGCGCTGGGCCACCCGATTTTGCTGACAGGTCGTGTGACTTGCCTCGCAACCGATACAATACTTGCGAACCAACCGGCAACGACGGCACATCTTCACGCATGATGTTGGTACGAGTCTGCTGTTCCAACTGAGCACGACGGTCCCGCACGGCTGCTACAGCATCGTGGACCATCGCCTCAGTCCCCTTCTCAGATTCCAGCAGCGACAACACCCGATCTTGTAGCTCCAGTCGCTTCTGACCGTTGAAGTCTCTGCCCGTCAGATGGAAATAGGGCGAGAAATCCGTGACCGAATTACGCGTAGCATTGTAGATCCTCACCATCTCGTAGACCATGTGCAACCAGGCATGCGGAGAATCAGCTGCTGCTTCTATCTCCCTGCGCAAACATTCCTTCATCGTTCTGATAAGGGTCTCTGGTCGCCCGTTGCTCTGATGCCGATTCATCGTGATCCAGTGCGGTTCTATGTTGCGACGCTCGCAGAAGGTCGTAACGTCCCCAATCTGAAACTTCTTGTCCGCGTCCATCACCAATTGCGCCGGTGAACCCCACGCTAAGACTTGCTCCTCCATGAAGCGAACCACAGCCGAGCCATCCACGTTAGGACCAAACACCTCGCAAACATCATGCGAGTCTGCGTGTCCACCGCCAATAGCACCAAATACTGACCGTTGACCAGGTCAAGGTCCATGAAGTCCATGCTGATCTCTCGCATGGCCTCTTCTGGCCTAGGAGGCTGCTGGAGCAATCCCTTCTCCTTACCCAGGTCATCCGACACAGCCTGACACGCGTCGCAGCTTTGTCGCACATGAGTGCACATCTCCATGGTGCCACTCCAACCCTACAACGTGCGTACAGGCTGGTCCAACCGCTTGGCACTTGCGTGCGCAAACAGCTCGTGGGTGTAACGTACAATCCATTCCACGATTGTACCCCGCCCCACTTTCACCCCGAAGACCGACCGTTTCATCAATTGAAGCCGTGTTCGTTTCACATATTCCTCAGGCTCATCCACTGGGTCTGCCTTCCTCTTGACACGTTCTTCAGCACTAAGGGGTTTCTGAACCTCTGGTTCATCCAGATCCATGTCGTCCTGAACAGGCAGTATGTCGACAATCTTGGCCGAGTCTCTCAGTTTCCTAGTGAGCTTCGGAGACTTCGCACTCTGGCAGCAAGTGTACATAGCTCTTACAGACCCCCCAGCCTGAGACTCGTCACACTCATCCAGCTGAGCTTCCGCCTTTCGTACAGACTGCTCTAGCACCCCGCTGGAATCCTGCCAGGACTGCGTGGAAAACGTGCCTACCGCAGAGATGGGTGTGGTCTCCACCCCTGCTTCCTCTGCAGGGAGCCCACACCTAACCTTACCACTCGGATGAGTCACAGCACCCACTGTGTCTTCTTGTACCATACAGGATACAACCTCATCCTCACGTTTACTGCCGCCGCCAGAGATAGGTGTAGTCTCTACCCCAGCTTTTGCTGGGAGCCCACACCTAACCCTCTTACCACTCGGATGGGTCACAGCATCCACTGTGGCTTCAACCAATCTGTCCTCCAGCACCATACAGGAGACAACCTCATCCTCGCGTTTGACTGCCGCCGTAGCTAACCTCTCGAAGACAGGACGCTCCGCTTCTAGCTTCTCCCAAAAGTCCTTACGCAACTTGTGCGGTGTGTACGGACTCATGTGACACACCGATGTCACAAAGTTAGGCGCAGATATGATCTCACGGCCATGTTTAAAGAAAACACCTTCCTTTGGGTAGATCATTACTGTAATAGCCGGGCCTCCACATCAGACTCTATGCTATAAACTTACTCTTAAGCAGTACGTAAATTATAAACGTACTCTTAATAGAACGAGGAGCTTAAGTTCCTAAATGGGTTTTTAATGGTTTTATTAATTAATACCTTTTCCATTCTACATATCAGATATTTGGACGAGGCCATTAAAAGGCCCCAGTAAAATACCAAACATAAGAGTTGGTCTAGTTCTATTAATAGAACTATATTTAATTTCCAACCTTATTTATATCTGAATACTTCGGTAGCGAGATGGCTCAACCGAATATAGGCTTCTAGGGACTATTAAACGTCCAGATGTATCAAAGGACAAGGCACAGCGATGGTACGAGTTCCTGGTTATGCACGTGTTCTGTAAGAACATAAAGAATAACGACCGTGAGAGCATGTACACTGAGTTGCGACGTAAACACGCTACTGAGGCTCGAGACAAGGGACATGAAACAACGTTTTATCTATCCCGACTTACGTGGGAACAGTTTTATGATACTGTATCCACCCTTTTTCCCGCACACCGAGTAACATCGAAGGGAAAAGCGGCTGTTTAGAAGCCGCGGGAGCACACCGATCACGGGTACGTATCCAGGCAGACCTCAAACGAGAGACCCCAACATACACGTGCTCGTGACTCCACTCTATCCACGCGACCCAATAAGCGAGAGACCCCAACATACACGTGCTCGTGACCCCACTCTATCCACGCGACCCAATAAGCGAGAGACCCCAACATACACGTGCTCGTGACCCCACTCTATCCACGCGACCCAATAAACGGGCACGCGCGGAGGCGAAGGACAAGGAACCTCCATTTAAGGAGATTAAGAAATGTGCCGACGCACAGTGTGGGTATGACATGTACCAATTGACCCCTAACGGTTATTGGAATGGCAGGCATACATCCACCTGTACACACTTTCTTATTTAGTGCGACAAGTGTGAGAAGACCAATGGCTATCACACTAAGTTTTGTGACAAAAACCCCGACATTAAGTTGGAGTGAAAGTACTACCAGGTACAATCGTTACACAGACAATACAACGACTCTTTAGATGAGCGTGTAATAATCCCTGTATACTGCAATGGAAATAAAATCCTTGCATTGATTGATCCTGGTTCAGAAATTTCATATATATCCGATCGCTTTGCATTAATGAAAGATATAGAAAGGAGAACACAAACAACTCACCTCATTTTAGCTGATGATAAAACTTCTAAGTGTGATACCATGGCCACATACGTTAAATTCTCCCTGGCCGATGATAGGAGTATCACTACTCAAGATGTGATAGTTAAGATGTCACAGAAGTACGACATTATAGTCAGAATGAGCGATTTACTCACCCTAGGTATAAGCGTAACTGGACTACCAAATAACATAGATCCATTAAAGGATCAGTCAGACGATAACTGTCTGAATCCATATAAGTCCCCGTCAGACACAGTCAAGGCATTAATACCTGACTTTGCGAACAAAATCATAGATCTGATTTTAGTTAATAAGAAGATAAAGATCACAGATTGGGCAAAAATCCGTTCTAACGACGGGTATGTCAGCCTTGACTTAACCAAGGTGGACTTTACACAGTTAAAGTGTCCCTCAAGGAAATATGTATCCTGGAGACACGA